ACAGATAATCAAACGAATTAAACTATGAATTTCAAATGTAGCGTTCATGAACGGACAATTAAATGGCTAACCATTGAATGCAGTCGACGATGGCAACGAACGTACGACCCATACGAATCAATCCTTCAGATAGCTTGGCAATCGTCATTTCGATCAGAATGTAGATAAGTAAATATGTATAATACGGATCGTCGAATGATTCTCATGAAAAGTGATATGGCTTCTACGAAGATGCGAGTTTCTTGTTCCCACTGACATGATTCTCCTATTGTGAAAAGGGAGTGTCGACTTAATTCTTCCGTTTCTCGTCTTCCTCTTTCTTTTTTTATTAACTGAAGTATCTACTACAGCCTTTGGACGGATGGTTGCCACTTGCGACACCGATGCGACTCACAACGATAACTGCTGATTTATTTTCAATCGAATTAAACCGTTAAAATACTCTTAAACCAATTTAGTACGCCTCAGAACTCTACGAAGAAACAAAACACATGTTAAATACAAGGTTTTCTAGCGACAACATTCAAAATTTACTATTATTTTATACAAATAGAAATAAGGAAACAACGTTACATAAACATAGTAAAACAATTCATTGTACATATTTTCGTCCGATAATGCACATTAATATCATTTCGTACCATAAGTCCAATACCGAATTCCATGTTAGATTAATATCACAAACACAACTTCAAACTTTATGAAAAAACGTAATTGCCTTCGTGTTGCACAACTTCGTCCCAATTTTTTTGATAGAGCCTTCTGTGGTTTTTCATTAAAATATCTTCCAATACTGTTTTCGAGTTTGTTGACGTTTTCGAATTTTTTACCAATTAAAAAATGTCGCAGTGTCCGAAATAGATGATAATCCGTTTGAATAATTTTCGGAGAATAAGGCGAGTGTAATAAAATTTCCCAAGCAAACTCATGTAATTCGTTTTGAATACATTCTTCTCTCACATGAGGTACAGCGTTGTTATTTTGATAAATCACTTTGTTTCTATTCAATAGCCCTGGACGTGAAAAAAATCTGTGAAATGTAGGAGTATAAACACATCATGGCAGGAACTTGATTCGTGTTTTTATGAAACTAGAAGCTATGTATGAAATATTTATCTAAACCCCGGTATAAAACTCAGCAAGAAGGTAAACGATGATCTAACAGAAATACTGTCATTTGCAAATTGATTCCATAAGAAACGATCAATTAAAAAGGAAAGTAAATGTACACCGTGGTGCAGCTTCATATTTAACATCATTGTCGTAATTCCTTAATAAATCGTCCCCACGTTTATACAACATGTATCACTTATTTCGCTTCAGAAAAAATACCGATAGATTACAATCGTTCAATTTTGAAACATCCTGTATACAAAAAATGTTGACTTTCGACTTTGAATACTGACGATCATTCGAGTATTGTTTTATTCATAAGGAACTATTACTTTCTAATCTGTTGTGTTCTTAGTTACCTTCTCAGGTGGTTTGTTGATTTAACAGTTATCGTTGCGTCGACAGGTCGCAAACCGAGTTCTCTCGATCGAAATGTGGCAACCCAATGTTACACTCGTTAAGATATGCAACTTGTGGAGTTATCTAGATCACGATGAACGCCTAAACGCGAGCCACCGCGATCGTGGAAACATTGAAATCAAAGTGTTCCTAAACTTCTTCAACGCGCTTGAAACTGTCTATAATTCACTCGAAATGGTCGACGCGGTGAGATTCATATGTACAAAATGGCGACGGACCAGTCCAAACGCACGTTACGTTCTATGAAAAATGTTCGCTACACACTTCCACTGACTCGTTTTTCCGTTCACACTTGCCAACCTCGCGCTAAAATACCGTGTATGTCGCTTCGATATGTAAACAACCGTTAAAAACAATAAGAAAATCATCGTTGGCGCTCGACGCGGTGAAATGTTCCTCGTTCTGATCGGAAAAATCAATCGATTACGTTTCGGTTTCATTGATTTTCGCTAGAATCCGATCATTATCCTTTGTGTTTGTTCGATTTCGTCTACAGTTAACCCCCAGCTGATCGAAGAATCGTTTCAAAACACTTCTCGAATAACATTAGACCAGTTTTAACATAATCTAGTTATCGTATAAAAGATATGGATAATTTCTTCCCTGTTCTCTCGTTGTGGCTTCTTTAAACATTGGAAACCCAGAGACGCGCCAAATGAACGGTGATAGCTTCCTGGGTATTCGAGTAATATTTTCATGGCGATGCTTCGAGAGAAATAAATAATTATTGTCGAAAACCGTACCCTCTCTTGAACACTGCTCCCGACGATTACACGTAACGTTAAACGAGTACAACTTGACTCACTTCTTGTCTTCGTTTTTACTTAGGCTATCCATCACTCTGGTCCATAGCTTCACGTAACTAAAACTGTATCACTTGGATGCATGGTATCCTCTAGGAAATAAGCTAACTACACAGTTTCGTCGTTGATCGAATCACACACTCTCTGTATCAAAATCGAACACTTTCACGGATGATTCTACGTTCTCCTAGCTATATCACTCTCGATATCACTTTAATACTATTTCTTGACAGAGTACGGCACCCTTTTCAAAGTACCTGTTCAGTGTCCTCGTGCTCGTTGATCCCCGAATGCAACGAGATACTCGAACATCACATGCCCGACTCCGCTATTCCTTCGTCGTCTGCAAACACACAGAAGAGAGAATGAGAACTCCAGGCAGAAAAGTTGTAAATACACTCTTTATCGGTTGTGTGTACTACTCTGATTGGGCAGTATGTTACTCCGTCAATCGTGTATTATTTTTTTTAGCTCAATCGGCCGCCAATAAATGTAAATAGAATCGAAGAGCGAACAAATACACTGGGAACAAGTTAGATATATACATGGGCGTAGGGAGGGGTAGGGGGCCGTTGCTCCCCCCTCCTCCCTCTCTCTGGATGAAATAAACTGGTCTTAGCCCTACCCTAGCGGGGAAAAAATTGGATTCTATGAAATTTACCTTAATGTAAATTTGACCCCCCACCCCAACCGCCCCCCGACTGATAATTTGGCTATGTTCATGGCTAGGTATAATGTTGCAAAGAGTTCCTTGTAGGACATCTGGTACTTGTACGTATGCATTGTTATCCCTTCAATTGTGGTGTAGCCGTACTGAAGAGGTTAATGTCCAGTATTACACCGGTGCAATACTCATTTTAAAAGAGCGTCAAATTCTGTCGCCGGTTAATATCTAACGTTTGTAAACAAGAAACCGTAATTTCACCGATAGTAATGTAGATCTCAGCATTTTCAATTGGGAAATTCAAGTATTCCCTCCAAAAATAAATAAAAGAATACAAAAAATAGGTCGGTTTAATATTAATATTTTCGACTTCAAAATACAATAAGATACAACATATACATATCAGTCTCACAATTTTGAAATAACGATTTAAAAGTCTGGGCGTTACAGGGTTAATAACCTGAAACTGAAACCTTGAAAGAATTTCGCGATTCTTGATTTTCGTTTTTACTTTGGCATGTAGGATTCACCCTGTAAAGGTGTCTCACATTTTTATTAACACCCTGTATATGTATAAACGCACGGAACAGGTCACGCAATAACAATAACTGAAACTTAGATTTGGCATTATACATATAGACACGAATGTTGCTATCGATTGATTATATGATGTTCAATTATATGATTGTTGGGGTCCTCCCAATGAAAATAAGTCTCAACAATTTGGACTATTTTTAGTAACATCAAAACCGAATGACTATAAAACAATTGTACATGAAGATTAATTTAGTGAAACTGTATTAAAATCCATTGGTAACATTTTTATAAAGAATGAAGAATAACAAAATTTTTGTTTCACATTAGTGGAAATACATATGGAATACATTTGAAGTTCCCCACTTATTTTCTTTACGATTCGCTAATAGAGTGGACGTAAAAAATTTGAATTTTTTTAGATTATTTTCGGTTATTGTCTAATATACCCTCATCAGTCAAGGGAATTCTACCTTTTCTTTATCTTTTTATGAAATTTCTCCTATTGGATTGTATCCTTAACGGTCTGTAATACACGATTTTATTCCCTGTAACTGTTTTATAGAGGATAATTCGTTACGAGTGATACAATCAACATCGAGGTGATTTGTTCGCTCTTCTTTTTACGAACACGCTCGGCTGAGTTCGATCTATTTGTTTTAGTCTACCTTCCCTGGTTATGACATCGGATGAGCTATAAGTGTAACATACTTAACCGACGAAGAGCGTATATAAAATTAGAATCATGCTCTTCTGTTTAATGATACTTATTAATTGAATATAGGATTGAACATAGCGGAAACAGATAAATTGCATGACCAAGTCATATGAGATTAAACATTTGCGAGGAGGTGTACATAAAGCGATAACAAACATTCAACATTAATATTTTAATAATTACGTTGGGATTAGTAAATATTTTGTTTCCTTGAATGTTAGTAGACCAGTCGTTGCAATTTGCATTATACGAACTCAAGCATTTGTGCACATGAATCATAAAATACTACAAGGACACTTGTCCAACGTTGTGTCTATGTTATAGAAACTTTGAAACAAAATTTTCTTTAAATGTTCAGGAAGTTGATTCAGTATAATCGTACTCTAAGAGCATTGATTTTAAGTTTTGTAACTTTAGCACAAGGGTTTATGAACATCTGAATATTAACAGACACATTTTCTAAATATAAAAAAGCTATTACTTAATATTTATATACAATTATCAAGTAAATATTTCATTGAACATAAATGAAAAAATTTATTTCATTTAATGAAATTCAATTAATGTAAAATATTATTTTAAAAAATATTATTTTAATGATTCAAGATATGTGGTTAATAAAACAAATAATTGTTTGTCACGTTCCATTCTACATGCTTCAATGATTGTGACATATCACATGCTACAGGCTTTAAAGAAAACAGCGAGGATCGAAATTACCATCGCCGCAGGATTCGCAGTTTGAAGGTCACCTTTCCTTCTCATCCTCAGCAGGACTCTTTGTGTTTTCGACCGAGCTTCGGTTCTTTCCTGGATTCAAAGGGAGTACAAGGTTGCAAAATGGAAGTGATTTCTACGTACGGATTTGAGACAATTTACCAGAAACAACACCTTTACAATTGGACAGACAACCAAATATACCCTCTTATTCGGTTCACTAATTTCTCTTAAACACTGTTTCACCATTTTGATGTGAAAAGAATTTTGAGCAAACGTTTACAAGCATACAGTAGAACCTCGAATAGTTCAAGAAAATATATGCAACCATCAAGTGCAGTCATCTTATCGCTAAAGTGAAGTTGGGACTACTCCTGGCAAAAAAATGTTGATCAAACAATCTAAACTTTGTTGTTAAATTTGATTTCCCCTGACTACTGGCAAAAAGTATTTGGTCAAACAATCTAATCGTTTCTAAATAGTACATATTATTACCGTGTAGCATTTCAAAAAGTACTTTCTGTATTAATGAAAGCTGTGGACGAAATAGTTATCTGTATTTGAAAATTTCTGTTTAGTTTTAAAATACGTAGTCAGACTTAAACAACTGACGTAAGAGTTCAATCATCTTGGTTGAAGGAAGTATCGAATACCTCCTATAATCGTCTCTTTTATTTAGAAAAACCCCCAGAATTTTGTATTTGGAATACATACGCAAATATTGACTGCAGTTGATCGCATTAAACCGTGTTATTGGATACTTCTTGCCAAGAGTAGTATTGCCATCGTTACTGTACTCGTTCTTCTAATTGAATAACTGTGTCTAAAGTTTCTCCACGAACTTTTATATATCAGATTCATCTGCAATGTGCTTAGTCAAGGTTCTACAGTACAGTACTCCTGCTCTATAATGGTACAATACCATGAAGTTAGTGTACTGATAACTCTTATGGCAATCTTCCTTACAAGAGCAGTTGAGGGAAATAGAAAGAAAACAGATGCGTGTATAGGAAGGGAATTCTACAGTTATTATAACAATGGAAAGTACGGAACTAAAAAGACCCAGCAACCATTGTCCAAGTATTAGCCACCACCATCACCAGATATTTCATACTTCTTAATTCCAAAAAATTTGACTTATACCTGTATGTTGTGTCTTGATACAACTTTAATAATTCGTAATATTACACACGAAAAATGTTCCAAATTATTAAAATTATATACACACTTTTGAGATGTTTGTTTATTAAACAGATCCTAATTTGTGTTGTGCCATTGTATTGTAATTTAAGCATTACGATCTCCTTTCCTGGAGAATTAAATTAATGAAAAATAAATGCACCCAATAGAAAGAGACATTGAAAATATGACATTGCCATAAATACAATTTTGTGATTAATTTTCTTACGAATTTATTTGAAGATATAGCCACGATACATATTCAAATCTTGGAAGTATAATAATAAAAAGAAATGAAAAGAAAAATATTTTTAAAAATTATTAATGTAATTAAGGAGTTCTTTATCCAAGTTAAATACCAAAGCTGGGTATAACCTATCCAAAATCCATATTACGGACTAATATTTCAAATAATGTAGTGTAACATAAATCTTGTTACCTGTATCTATATTTCAGAGAAACAATCATTACCTAACCAGAAATCAATCTCGCCGTCAAGATTGCCTCACAATGCAAAGCAGAATTTTGAGAGATTACTCGGAAACTACTATAGTTTATAATTTTAAATATTATGTACATACTCACTAATCTATACTTCAAATAGTTTATACCCAGATCTAGTCTATAGTTCGCGTATCTTAAACACGTGTTCCTCTACCTTTTATATCAACGTTTTACAAAGGCAGAATTGGGGATTCAAAAAGCTAGAATTGTCCCAAGCTCTGAAGCTTAAATTGAACAACGATGTTTTCAAATACCAGGGGTGAGCAGTTCAGAAAGTATCCACGAGAAACAAAACTGACCTTCGAATCCCTGATTGTCATGAATCTCCCGAGGTGGTCCAGTCATGTCCTGGCCTTCCAGAACCGCCAGAAGACACTGGTGTATGCAGATGTACTGCTGCTCCGTTTGGACCATCCACACGCGTTCCTTCCTCATCGCCCAGACGATCCCGAATATGTCGACGCATTTGGACACCAGGATTTGCTGGAGGATTCTATCTAAGGTGATGAAAGTGCCGCTGCGACCAACACCCGCGCTGCAGTGCACGACTATCGGCCTCTGATCGGACCGAACCTTTTCTCTAAACGCTCGCACGAATCTGGCCAACGTTTGAGGTGGGCTTGGGACACCAAAGTCAGGCCATGTTGTGAAATGAAAGTGTTGTATCACCCTCTTGACGTCCCCCTGTTTAAAGATGTATTAATTCAGTGTTGATCGACCACTAGAAGACAACTATAAGTTTTATTCGAAACTTGTATATTCATGACAATGCAATTGAAATTGAAAATATTGATGTATTTTTGAGTTATCAATATCACTAGTAGATTAAGAACTTTTCTGCATTTATAACAAAGCTGAACCTGCTATTTATTTATGTCTTCAAATAAATTAGTTTCGGAAACTGTCATGTTGCATAATGCAGTTTCATTATTATATTACCAAAATTATTATACAGTGGATGAAACAAGTGTTTGTACATACAGATCATTTATAATAAAAATATTGAGCAGAATGAATAATATATAATACTAAGAAGTATATTATTTGCAAGCACCCTGTAGTCAAGGATAAATAAAGTAATAGGAACTTTAACAGCATTATCCAAGACTCTGTACAGTTTCTTTCGAAAATTGAATTTTCTTTCCTTTACCCACTGCAAACAATTTGACTTTTATCCTCACCAAATTAATCATTTTGCTATTAAATAAGTGATTTACCCTGCACAACATGAACTCCGTGATACTCCAGTCTGGATAATGCGCCTCGTTCAATATCGTGACGCAAATATCTCCGTAATAAACGGGAAGGGTGTCCATTGGCCAATAATGATCACATTTCTCTCTACCCTTTTCGATGCACCTTGTCAACATTACGATCGCTCTGCTGTTACTCTCCCAAACCATTCGCCAGAAATCATCGCGCGTCGAATGCAGTGGTCCTTGGGTGACGATGAATTCCCTTGGAGAATTGTGTCCCTACCATAGAAGACACAATGAGAACAAGGACTTTATTCGCGACCGAACTTTGTAGACCCTACCCTCCCCCCTATTTCGTTTCCGCTCATGACGTGGATCTACGACATCGGACGCAAATGCGTTAAGAGTGTTTGCCTACTCTGTTTCTTTTTTCGGTTTAATACAGAAACACAATTAGTGATCACAAAGGTGAAATGTAATAAGAGAATCACCGAAGACACCTCCCCCCTCCCCAGAACTGTGGGTCACATCATTCTGAAGGTTATCGAAGGTTATTAAGATTTCCGAAATGATGTTTCGAAGCTGTCGAAGAAAAATAATAAACAGTGGAACGTACAGGAACGTAATTGGCGTTGATGTAATCGGAACCCTCCTCGTCGTCCACGGGCTGGAGCTTAAATCTACTGTGGTCGTAGGGTAAAATGTTCGTGAAACGATTCTTTGGTCTATTGCACGGCAAATCCGCCGCTGTACAAGGCTGATCCCTTCCAACGTGTTTCAATTCTTCGAATTCCTCCGAGAAACGGAAATCGGAATCCGCGGACATCGTGCGGTAATGCTCAGCAAAGTCCTCGATCTTGATCGGTCGACTGTTAGAAACGCATACTGTAATAAACATTCGTGTTTTCGCGATGAGTCATATCATTTACATTTACCTAGTCTCGATAACGCTGTCCGGCAAAGACAGGTTGTCGGTTGCTCTTGTTTCGGTCGTTTTACGGCCTTGACTCCGTCTTCTTCTCACTAGCAATCCAATGCCCAATAACGTCAATAGAAACACTATTGGAACTATGACTCCAACTATGATGGCCGTATTATCCTTATCTGTGCAAACATGTAAAATAAGATTGAAATTGGACGTGTTAGATACTTTATATGTAATTAAATTATAACAATAAAAGTAACGCTTAGATTCAGTGCCAAAAAGATATTTTTTCACACGAGTCAGTGTCTTACCTGCCAGCAGCAATCCTTGGGCAGACATGTACACGAAATGACGAGGCGTGAATTTAGCAAATTAATATAGCTACGAGTCAATATGTATGAACATTTGTCTGTTTCAATATTTTTCAAACGTACAACGAGCAAAAGGAGAATCTGAAGTCTAAATTTTTATAACATAGGTAATTCAATATTTTAGAAAATCAAGCTTAAAGGCAAATTTTTAGTTAGATTCCTATTTATTCTCTAACGATTAATTTTAAATTAAAAGTGAAACTATAACAATCAACAATAAATTACAAATGATATTTTAACGATTAAATTCAACGATGAATATAAATTTCACAAAATAATATTTTAATTTAAGTAACTAAATTCAAATTCACATTTTCACGCTTAGATTGGAATTTAGATTTTTATTCTAACAGCAAAGACAAAATTTAAAGTTAAATTTCAGCAAACAAGACATTAAATGTCTGTGATCAAACTTAAGTGTGCAAAAGTAGAAATGTCTTGATAAACCTTTTGGTGACAAAATTCGCAAACAAATTAACTGAGTGATGTATGTCACATGATTGCCCTCACCTGTTTGAATCGGAAAACTGTAACTGGTATCAGTGAATTTGTCTGGTGCGGTAAACGCACGAACTTTCACTCTATACGTGGAACCAGATTTCAGTGGTCCATTGCAGTATCCAATTTTGTTGTCACAATTCTCGCCACCGATCGTGAAATCCTCCACGGAGCCATTCTTGAAAGGATAGTAAGGTTCCATCACCTGTGAAAACAATACCACTCAATATATTAGCACTTGGTGAATATTATGTTGCTATTAATTTAAATTGCTTAAACGATGGTGATCTAATAAATTCAGATATTTCGACATTGAGTCATAATCAGTAAGTACGGATAGCATGAATATCACCAATTTTAAAATGAAAATAATCACCTGTGTGAACAATTTTCCAGCTTTTCCGATCCAGTTCTGTATAACGTTCATGGTCTAATTTAATCATCATATTCAGAAAAATAAAAAAAACACGAACTCCCAAATAGAAGTAAAAACAACAAAATTAACACTACGCTAACAATTTCCAGTCCATCCGCTCACTGGTGTCACAACCACTCGAAAATCATACTTTTTATGCTTCCCTCATCCATCTCGGAAAACAAATGAACACTTTCCTTTGTATTATTAGTAACGTAATCACTTATACTTCTTTTTTTATTATTTCAACAAACCACAAATATACCAACGAATTCTATTCCAAGCTTTTCGTGGACACGCATTTTCTAACAACGCCTTGCATCACGCGCGTTCTTCGACCGACTATTGCGTCCCAGAGTACACGTAACGCAACAATTGTTTATGCGTGGTCTCGAATGCACGTATGTCTTCGCCGTTTGCGTTCTACGCCCGTGATCTTGCAAGTTAACGAGTCATTCGGCGTAATCGTTGTATTAATTATTTTACATCTCGATTGCGATACCGGCTGATGACGCATTCCGCGTGATCGCTTCATCTTGATCCGTGATTCAAGAGCACGACGCAGTTCTTTTTTTTTTTTTCAAAAACTTTCCAAATTCATTCGAAACCGGACAAACTGCACTTAGCTTATAAAAATGTCTCACCTGATACGGAGGCCAGATACTATAGGCCTGGACGTCCCTCCAGCTGGGCATTTCCAAACCAGACGCGTTCTTGCTATCGTCTTCCGCCACGATGATCGTGTAAGATGTCACGGCACCGTTCTGCTCGCTGAAGTAGTTCTTCCTGAATCGTATTTGAATGGTAGTGCTGCTTCTGCAGACCTCTGTTGGCACAACCTGGGTGGGTGGCTTGGGTGGCGCCAAGATCGGCATTTTCTGCTTCCACACCGCTTCAGGACCGAAGCCAATCTTCGTCTGTGCTTGAATCCGAAAGACGTATGTTTTTCCTGGTATCAGAGACCGGATGATGCCGCGGTACTCGTTTGGCCTGAAGTCTTGCATCTGTGTGTGCGCCGAGCCCTGTTGACCACAGAATTTCAATGAAATCGCAATTTTCGAATTGATTGGGAATCACTGCAGGCTACTATCCTTCAAAGTGACTACGAAAATGTTAAGTAAAACCTACTTCCAGTCCGTAGGTGATGGTGTACTTTCTGATGATGCCATTTTGTTCTTGACTAGGAAGGGACCACTCGAAACTGATATCGCTTGGCTGGATGTCCGTCGGATGAAACTTCTCCACCTTGCCAGGATAGGACTCGCTGGTAGTGAAACTGGCGCTTAGGGGATTCGACACTCTGAAATAGGAGGACGCCGTCCCCGAACGGACTACCAATGTGAAAGTGTAGTTTCTGTGAGGTTTCAAATCGGAGATGGTGATCAGGTTCACCGTCGTGATGTTCTGAATGAAGCTCCCGTCGGTGTTTATATATTGGACCTCGAACGCATCGTATTGTCCACGTGGAATGTCCCATGTCAATGTGATTCGCGTGTCGTTGATATCTATCGCTTGGATGGCTGTGATGGGTTCAGGATCTAAAATCGAATTTGAAATTTGTAATTAACTTGTTTTGTGAAAGGACGCCTAATTTTTAATTCGATAAATTCATATTGTTCATAATATTATTTTCCTGTAACTTGTATGTTTATATGTAAAATGTTAATCACACTGTCATACGTAGTATTGAATTTTACAAGATGGAAGCCTGATTTTGAGAAATACCACGTACTTAAGTGGGATTTCATGTGTACGCGTACTGTCTCGATGTACGTTTTGACAAGCATCGATACAAGCCGCAATCGTACAAGATTGCTTGATGAATGTTTATAAACATGTAGGTACGTTTTTTTAATACAACACACTGACTTTTAGATAATGTAAACTGTTAAGTGAAACACGTCCTCAGTTCTGGTTAGATATACATAGTACTCTTTAAAAGAACTCTGAAAATTCCGTCAGAGACAGTCGAGAATTGCAAGAGATGAACTAAAAGTTCTTAATTTGATACAACCCTTCTTTCACCGTGAACATATTCGTACGTAAAATTTAAACCAACAAAGAAATAAACAAAATGTTTAACTATGCTTTTAATAGTCGTGTGATCATTTTCAAAATTATTATTACGATTAAAATTACATTGACATCGCTGTACTACTATGTTCAAATATTTCATTTTTAGCAGTGAAATATTCCAGACAAAACGAAGCTTCTAGTTTTCTTAAAACACCAATGAGAAAATATTGTCAAATGCTATTTATTTAGGACCACAATGAGCACGAAATAGTATTTCATGTTCGGTCCAATCGATTGTAATTGAAAATATATTCTCTTATTTCCTGTATTTGTACCATCTAAAATACTTTCTTCATCCGAATCTGTTCTGAAACGTTGAACTTTTTGCAAAAGAGGTTGCGTATTCATAAGAAAACTCACATTTTTTATAATTAGGAAATCTGCTCGAAACCTTCGAGCCGCATTGTACGACGAATAGAAGTCAATCACCGTGAATCATTCGTCATCACCGCGAAATACTCACAAAGTCGGTCCTGCCTAAGCAACGGTCTGCTCTCCACGTTATCGCTGACAGTCCAAACCGTCACGTTGTAGAGTTTACCAGGTGTTAGGCCGGCGAAGGTCACCTTAGTGTCGGTGTCGTCGACCCGTCGCTCTTTCGTCGTGTTGTTCTCGTCGCTAATCCGGAACCGATACAGATCGAAACTCGAGGACTGGATAGGTGTCGGTGTATACCTCAATGTCAGGGAGTCCGGCTGATCTCGATCGACCACCACAACGACTTCCGATTGGATTAGCGGCACTGAATTTTAGAGATCTTGTTTATTCGATTCTGACCTTTTCCCTTAAGTAACCACTATCACATTTCTCCCTAGCCAACCTGACTGAACAGGGTGTCCCGCGAAGGCACCGATAAACATCTCCAACAGATAAGGCAGTTTATTCTGAGGCAAGTAGCTCAGACAGCACGGAGACGTCTTATGAATATCTTAAAAACGTTTGTCCAAAATGTTCAAGACATCTTAGTTGTATGGAGTGTCGAATGAACGTTCAAAACATTCGACGTTACAAAATTGAACGTCGTTATTATGATTTATGTAGGTTTGAACAGACCTTCAGAAGACCTTATTAAGACGTCGTCAAAATATCTTATTTTGGTTGTTTTGTGGTCGTACTCTGACTTGAGTCGCCTGATTTATGGAATTATTTATGAGTCTGTGACAATTAGTACTCTGATTATGTTATTTTTAATTAAAGAAATTTGTTTTTCTGCAATGAAAGTCTCCTGTAGCTTGTAGTTGAAAAACCTGTTTGCTCGTTAAAGTAAAACAGATGGATGGAATGGATTTTGTGATCTTACAATGCTTACAATGCTTAAAAGTAATTATCCATAAGGCGCCTTTAAGCACGTAACTTATAACGTCGTTTTAATGTCCTGCACTAGACGCCTTTGAAACGTCAAAATCAGGTCGGAAGACATTCAATCGTAAGGGGAACGAAGAATCGTCGATGACGTAGCGTACTGTCTGAGCAATTCGTGCAGATCTTTTTCAATTTATTAGAAATTAAAATTTATAATAAAAGCAACGAACTGTAGGCATTGATCTTACAGGAGACGATATATGTGCATAAATTAGCGTAAAAAAAGCTCGTAGTAAAACAGGAATATAGTGAGCATTAAATGCACACGAAGGCAAGTGACCCTAATGGTAATATATCTACAGCATATATGACCTTCTTCGCTCAGAATGATTTACTGTAAAGTTATGTTCATATTTGCAAGTTTGGAATGAACAAGAAACATGAAGAAAACTGTTCCGTATAGAAATAAGCCTGCTGTATTTTATTTATACGATAGTATACTCCTTTAACAAGTTGGCATACGCCAGTAGTCTATCTATACGATCATCTTATAACTCAGATTGACCTGCCATGTTATATTAAAAAGGTTTTTCGGTTCCTCCCAGGACACCACTCGTATTGACTTCGCCTCGAACGTAATTAAAAGAAACATACCATACAATAGAGAAGAAAATGTATCGTCAAGTCAAGCTTGCGTTCGAAATACATTCCCTATTAACAGCCAACGAGCTCCGATTTCATGAAGTTAAATTAGTCCGTTTACAAAATTTACGGATGATACATTGAAAACGTTATTAGCAATGAAAAACAAACATCATTTCAAGTTTTAGTGTGTGTTAGCACTCATGGCCAGGTAGGAGCCATTGCACGAACGAAAAAAGAGAAATGTAGCGGTTATACGTGATATACGAACTTTCCAGGAGAATTTATGATTGAACGTACTTGTCCTGGTGGTCAAGTTGGTGACGTCACTGACTAGGCCGTAGGACACTGTGTAGATTGTAAAGGAGTACTGAACTCCTGGCATCAGATCACTCACGAGAACCTTTTGCACAGCATTCTCTTCGAAGAGGATGCTGGTGACATCGTTGCTCTCCGTTACGTTTTTCGAACGCACCTCCTCAGGAGTTCCGTACGGCCACCATCTTATCGCGTAGGTCTCGATTCTGCCTTCCGGTCTCGGCCATTCCAGAGTCACGTTCGTCGAGTCGATGATCGGAGTAATGTTGAGTACAGGATTAGGACCTAAAATAAATTAGAAACTTCAATTCAAAAACTTTAAGGTATCTTGCCTGTAAATGGGAGATCTGTGGAGTGATTTACAGGTGCTGTAGGGTGTAAAGATTTGACTGCAGTTCATCATTACATAAACAAATAAGACAGATATTTTGGGTACTAAACCTAATCCATTTTAAGCATAAATCAGTAAAACACCTCGAATAGAAACACTAAAGGGAACATTTTTTAGGTAATTTGAAATTGTTTACAACTACTCTTATAATGAACGACTTGAAAGTATTTAGCAGAGTTCAAAAGCATTACGATCCTCGTCGTACACCGTAGCTTAGGTGGTTTTAACACTAGAACTACCGACGATAAACGTGTGTGGATTTCTATCAGATCGAGAAACATGACAAACTGTTCAAAATCTACATGTTTATAAATCAACCTATTTCTTCACTAACATATTCCAATAAAAGTTGCAAAAGATCTACGAAAACACATTGTTTGGAATATTTTAGTCATCGTTATAAGAGCATACTAACCAGTCACTTTGACTGCTTTGGTAGTTCTAGTGTTAAATACCAGGTAGCCATTAAGTCGTGGAAGTTGCAAATTCATAAATGCAATGTTGATACTTGTTACTTCCTTACGTCCTAATTACTTAACGATGAGAATGAATAAAATAACAAAAAGGGCAATGGGAAGTATAATTTTCGTTTTAAAGGAATTACAGCGATAGAAATATACCACAGTGAAGGGATTGATACATTCCAGTGTTTGCGCGTATTTTCAACCCCTGATATTCTACTCTAAATAGTTTTGGAACAATTGACACTTACGAACTGTATGGTTCACTTGGAGGGGATAGAGACTTTCGACTCCATAACTGACGGTGTTGACTTGAATCGTGTATTTCTCTCCTGGTGTCATGTCTGCCACTTCTGCTTCCGTTTCTCGCACACTGGGCAACTTGACCCACCTCGGATCTTCTTCTGTTCGATATCTAATCGAGAATTCAGTGTACAAGGAGTCCGTCGGCGCTTCCCATTGAACAACGACGGTGTTGCTAGTCACCCTTTCAAAGCTTAAATTTTTTGGCGGATGAGGCACTGAAATTACGCAATTAGCCCGTTCAATAATCACGACTGTACTGTATTCCAAGAGTGTTATGTAAAAAATAATTCGAAATGTTAAATATAAACCTGGTACTTCAATAAGGGTGAATTACTTAATATTGGAAATAAGTAAATCATCCTTATAATACGTAATAGCTTACAAAAGATAACGTTTTGAGCAAATCTATACTTTCTGAGTCGGTAGATTCAAGTTTATGGACCATGTTAACAGATAGTAAAAATTAACAACTTTGATTCGAATTATTGTAAACCAATCGCACACTGCAAATTATTAGAAATCGTAATAATGCCTCGCCAACTTATTTGTAAAACTGTCATAACGACATTAGGAGATAAAATTTAAGAAAATAATACAACGGCGTGTATTTCCACGTCGTTACATAAGTCTGCAGGAAATTCATACCTAAAAAAATTTTGTAAAATAAAATTAATGACTAACTGATTACGTACAAACTGCTTGGAAGTAGTCATGCGGTTCACTTCTCAGAGAATGGCTAATGGCGAAAACTTTAACTTCATACGCCGCGCCAGGATAAAGATCTTCCAGAACAATGTGCGATTCTGTGGTTAACGTTGTAGCGCTTTCTCCAGTATCGTTCCTGTTGTGTGTCACCTCGAATTTCTCTTGTCTCGAATTCACGTCGCTTTTCCACGAAATGTTCAGCCCCATCTCGATCGGTTTTAGGTCCTCGATGATCGGACTCGAAGGCCGTGTGACTTGATACAAAACGGTTTCGTTCGACTCGACTTTATTACTAATTGCTTGGACAATTATCGAGTAATTTCGGCCGGGTAATAAAGCTTCAAGAGTGACCTGTAGAAGTATTATCAGTCTTAAAAATCTTAATTCAATATTTCACTATTCTCAAAACCTATACTGTGTTCGTATTATTCGTTATTGTTTTCAAATTGGCATTGTAATTATTATGAAAATACATCACATTTAAACTATTATGGTGTTGTATATTTGAACAAGTGAGTAACACATACTTCAATAAAATCTACAGACGTTTGCTATCAAAATATATCTCTACCATTATTAGAGAAAATCCTATTTTTGAATAACCATTCCTGGATTTTAAAACTACATCTTTTATATAATTTTTCGTAGTCGTTTTCCTCATGAATAATGTCTTTCGTAAATTATAGCTTTCATGGAGATGATGGAGTAATTACTTTTGTTTGATCGGTTGTTAATGTGTTGCTATCACCACCAATCGCTGTTTCCACCTCGTGATACTGTAGCTTGTAGGTATCCTGAGTACTGGAATTTTCGGGGAGCCAAGAAACTTCGACCATTCCGGTTTTCTCATCGATGACGGCACGTAGATCACGAACTGGTAATGGTTCTACCAACGTTAACAAAAAGAATCATTTTAAATTTGTATATTGCTTTATTATCCAATTCAAACGGAAAACGTTTGCCTTGATTATGATTCGATAGTCAGTACAGAAACAAACATCTGGTATCATTTTATTTGCGTTTGCGTTGTGTTAATTTACTAATATTATTTCCCACAATATTATAATAAAATATATGAATATTCTATATTGTTATACGGCGCATATTAAGCAAGTAAATGTTACTGCGTAACGATATAACTGAAATATTGTGCGACCTGTGAAAGTATAATGACGTAATATAACAACGAATATAATATATTACTGTATTGTATTATATTCGAATGCGTATTTTCTATAAACTTTCAATTTTATGCTATATTATTATGATCTGAAATAATATTAATCATCATCAACAAAATAAACGAAATATACAAGTTGTTTGCCTAATATAAATGTGTGTCTCCACTATGTTGATCGGCAAGGCCTGAGGCATCATCGGCACATGCCAACAGGCTTTACCAATCGGCATAGTGGGGACACACCTTAACGCTCATTATTCGAATTTATCTACATAACGGTCATTACCACGAACAGTCGAATATTAGAATCATAGATTGTACTGCAAATCATAAAAATCGAAGAATCATGATAATTCGTACGACTCACTTAAAGTAACATCTCCACTAGCCGGCCAGCTGGTAACCTTGCCCGAGACCGTCTTCACAACAACTTGGTAAGTTTTCCCCGGTTCCAGGTCCTTGAATTCCCATTTACTCTCGTCATCACGATTTCTGGTGACTGGCGCGAGCCTCCGATTACCCCCTAACGATATCTGATACTTGTCGAATTCGGACATTCCTTCGGGGGGATTCCAAAATACGCGGAAGGAACTGGATGTTATCGAAGACTTGTCAAAGGTGACGTTTAATGGACGCAATGGCACCGTTCGATATTGGGCAGTCGTGGGAGCTGAAGTCTCGTCCTCCGACACCGTTTGCACGGAAATATTGTAAGCTCTGCCTGTGACATCGAAAAGCGAGGATGAAATTAGAATGATGCATTGTCAACTTACTCGAAAATTGAAATTATTAATATAAGGAAGAAAATATTTAATAAGCGATAAATTATCGGTAAATTATAAGTTTTATCAGTTTAATATTGAAATTTATATAAGAGCAATAGTAACAATAATAAATTTTATTGTTGTTTTACCTAACCCAGACTAAGTAATACAGAAATAAGATATAAATAGCTTTCTAATTTGTACTGATATATTCAGAACAAAAAATTGAAAGTCTTAAAAAGAAATACAACATAAAATATGAAATAAGTTATTAATTCTATGTGGACAGAAGAATTGCTAAAAATTGATGAAATCAAAATCCTCTTTCTTTCTCTTTAACATGAAATATACTGCAAATGTTATACATCAAAATAATTTTTCCTTTAGACACACAATGACTTTTTATTGCCAAATTTGTTTCGAATTCAATGTTAATTTTTAAATCGTTTAAAATCTAAGATAATAATTATTCGATTAGGTGTTTATGCTTTACACATTTCTTACCAGGAACGAGTCCTTTAAAGGCGGCCTGCGCTGGCCCAGGTGGTTCCCCTTCCTTTTCTACGTAAAGAACAGATTCTATGGCATCAGCAGGATCTATACTAACTTTATAATGGGTATAAATCCCAGCAGGGTATGGCGGCTGCCAGAGGACCAATAAGGTCGTCTCGTTCCTAAACCATACGATAAACTTCCCAGGCGTGTTGGGTTCTGAAAAAATCAAAGTAACAAATGTATAATGTTTCCGTATGCACGGTAGAAACACTTATTCAACCAGTATTCGCAATCCCTTATCATTTTGTATTCTAGTTCAATAATAGTAATAATAATGAATTTATTGCATAATAATGAGTCCACTGCATGAATAGAACGAACATATGTATGTATGGAGCTTTGAAAATTTATGAAGACAATATAATATAAAATAGTTGAGAGGCAATAAAATTCTACTGTTAAATCCGACTCCATTATAACACATAATAATTATTAATGAATATTTTATAAAAAAAAAACGAATATTGCAATGTACTTCCTTTAGTGAGACAGGGAACTCAAATGAATTAAAATGTATACATATATGTCCACAACACTTTTTTAAATTAATTTAATTTAATTTTTCCTTTCGTACATATTAATCATTAATAGATACTAATTTACTTCTTAAAACAGTAAAATACAATAAAGCATTTGTAGTGATATCTTTAAATGAGATTTGCTACGTTTAGTAGTATTGCAGATGATAAATAAGGAATATTTGTATACAATACCATATTAAATAATAAATCTAGTAGTTCTTTCTTATTTACACAAGTATGATTTGCTTATTAAATATTTATGTACAGTAAACTGTTTAACACGGACAAAAATGTATCATCAAAATAAGAAGTTTCGAGGAACAAATATAAGAATAAAAATATCGTCTATTGCTGGTTAAATAAATTCGAGGAATGCAATCAAAAATTAATCTTAATATTTCAAGTTTAATGCAGAGATACATCGAACACAAATTTGAATAAACATGATGAATTCTGTGTCTACTCACTTCTCTCGATTAATTAAAATACAACATTTATATCACTTTGAAAGATAAAATTACGATTTTTAATATAAATATTTACAGCTGAAAAAATTGTTTATGCAGGTCGTGCAGATTTTAATACTCACTCGTAGTGAAATTTCTACTGGTGTACGCCACGCTTTCTTTGGTGTCTAATACGGTGAAAAGTTGAAGGGAATACGTCGCCCCAGGGATGAGATCGCGGAGCACATAAGGAACTGCGTCCGCAGGGATCACGCTTGTTTTTGGATTTCCGGTGTCGCTGAAACTTTGCACCCTCAACCGGAAGCCGGAATAATTCCCCTGGGCTGGCGGTGCCCAATAAACCACCGCGGTCTTGCCATTTCGCACCGAAACAGTCAAGTTCGATGGGGGATCCGGTGCTGAAGAACCAAATCAATAATTATTGAAAAGTTTACTTTACTTTCACAATTATTAGACATGACTTTTGCATTACAATTGTGGTACTTGATTTTAGAGTCAGTCATTTCTGAGTTAATGGAAATAATAATTGTGAAATAGAATAACGTGTTATTAGCCATATGAATTACTTTGTTTCTTATTCTTAACCAAAAGAATTGCATTTCTAAAATAATTAACTTTGGCAGTAGGAAATTAATTAACATACTGCATTATAATATTGATATACTATTAATTAATTACTGCATTTATAGCATCCGCACTTGTTAATGTTCTAATGAAGATACTTTGATAGGGTTTCAATAAAAATTTTACAGTTACAAAAGTATCCGTCCACCCTGTACACATAATATATTCATTATGATTTACTTTTTTTTTATCAAATTCTGTACGTACGTTTCTCTGCCACTTGAAACAACAAGACTTTTTTAAATTAAATAAACCCTATATCATTTTTCAGTTCAATGAATTTAAAGTATATTTATCAAGGTTTAGAGTAATGTATTATAATTGTCAATTCTGACACTAATGTTAATTATTTGTACAATTTGTCATACATATCGAGTGGGCGGATGCTTCTACGAGGAACAGTATATTATTTCGAACTTAAAAATTTCATATTACAGAATGCATATTTCTATTCAACAGCGGTTTTGTGAATTCACTATGCGAAAGTATAAATTTTCATAAATATCCGTGATATAATTAAAACGCCATATTTTACACAGCATCGTTAAAATGGCGATTCATTACAATTCATATTAACTCTGAAAAAATCTAACCTCTATAATTGAAAAAATGTAAAAAGTATTACCAATAGTGAGCTGAGTAAAGACTAAACAATTACTTATTTCCTGCTAACTAAACAATAATAACAATATTTGTACCTAAAAATAAGTTCATAAAAGAATATATTTATACAAGCAATAAGCCTGTATTCAATTACTTAAAAATCGATTTTCAAATAAATATATTTGTGATTTTAAGCTACAAAAACATGGCTTAATATCATTTCCAAATTTTATCGAGTAACACAAATATATCACTTCAAAATTAACTTCAAAAAACACGCACAAAAATTTCAATGTCAGATTACACGTGGCCAAGAGTCAAAAAATAAAATAATTACGGATAAACTAATCGAGGAATATATGCAGCTATTGACCTATAAGAAAACAACATGAATTTTTGAATTTTAATTGTTTGGAGTTTTTGCCACGTTTTTGTGATTTCAAACTACAGTGCGACGGAGATGGATCAATTTTGAATACATACCTGTGGTTATGGAGGCCGTCCATGTTCGCCAATCGTGAAGAGTACTATTGCTGTAATACAACCAGAATTCGTATCTTGTCCCAGGAAGACCATCCTTGAACTTGATAACGTCCCCTATGTCGGTGGCGGCTATGGTGGTGTTTGGTGGTGGATAACCAACAGCAGGGCTGTAATCTAAACGATACCAAGAGCCTCCTTGGCTCAAGTTTCCTGGTATCTCAATTGCGAGATCAGCCGAATACGTAACCTGAAAATAAAGAATTAACGCGACTTAAACTTTTATTTACTTTTGACAATCTCTTATTAATTCATATTAATAATTTCCTATTATTCATTAAGTGGTCATTTTAGATGTAAAGTTCGTTGAAATTCATATTTCAACTATAAAATATTAATAAACCATTCGTTGGTAAATATGATAGATAAACAGGGTATAGACGAAACAGCAAGCTGAAAGTGTTCTTAAATCGAGTTTAATTTGTGATATAGGATCTGTTAGTTGCTCAAAAGAAAATACAATAGTCCCCCCCTTCATTGGCGCAGGCTCAGACCCGCGTCATGACAGTTATCGGTGGAGGTAAGTGTTTTAGGAATTGCCGTCTGAGAGGCAAAAGTTTGCAGAAAACAGAATCCTCGTATATTAGAACGACAGCTTTAGAGATATAACTTACAAATTTTTCCTTTTTTTTAAATTTTTTCATAATAACATCTTACTATGAATGTTGCCCTTTAATTTGTTCGTATTGATAGGAATACTATTTATCGAAAATATGAAACGCTGATTTTCCCTACTTTAAAAAAAAAAAATAATTCATGTAGTACCTAATGGATATTATGTTAATATTGCCTTCTTTCATTGATTGAGTTTCATCTTACGTAACGTTAAACATTTTTGTAATTATTATTATTATAAAATCAGTAGATGTGTTTGTAGTGTCCTTATAATTACTCTCAACATTCACGGACCAAAAACGCCTGCACACTACATTTTTATATACACTACCGTTCACATGTATTAGGACACCTGTTTTAGGCCACGTTGATTACTTCATAGTAGCATAAAAGTTGTCCATCGAACTTTGATATGTATCCCCTGATCAATATTTATTTTAGACTTTCAGCAATTTTGCAATGTTTTATAACATTTACTGCATATTCGACAAGTGTCCTATCACTTGTATGAACGAAAGTGTAAAGTTCGTGCGGCCGAATCTGACAAACCAGTCTTGTAAAAGCAGTAGATATTAGTAAGACTAGATTGACGGAAAAGAAGGCTTGGAAAGGAAACACGATCTGAATTTGTAGGCGTTTGTCACATTCACTGTGTGACACCTTGTGCATACAAATGTGGTACTGATCGTCATCGATCAAACAACAGATTTGTAAATTTTACTGCAAGCTTTTACAGACATTATTCATACTTTTCCTAGATAATTCTGTATGAAAGTGGTTAATAATTGTTAAATGTCATCTAAGCAGAAATAGGAAAATTGGGTATCTAAGTACAGTTGCGAATAACGAATAAAAGATCAGAAAAAGCACTTCTTCATCTTCAGTCGATTAAACGTGGAACTTCCACTCCGTAGGTATCATTCGAATAAAATTTTGCCCAACTCTGCATCTAATTATGAATTTACTTTTAACCTTTACGCTATGTTGCTAGTTTCATTTCTATTCTTCGAATTAAACTTGGTTTAAGGCTTAAACTTTAGCTAACACTGAATTGGTGAAATATATTTAATACTTACAGATCGTTTGATCGTTGTATGTAAACTACTGGTTGTCAAATTAGTTTATAAGTTTCCCTCATAAAGAATATAATTGAAAACTAAAGACTGAGTTTGGTTCAAATTGACCCGAACAGTGAACTAGGGTTAAAAAAGTTCTGATCTCTACAACACTTTCCACTTGACATCTCAGTTATATGTATAATATACAGCTCATTTGTGTGCAGGGCATTACAGTTCTGTTACGGTGATAAATGTTCTTCAACAATACTTTATACACTTCGCATTGGTTGCACCTACCAATAAAGGTCAAAGGAGGGAATGTAATTTCTCTATCGTATTTGAATACCGTCTCACGGCAATATCACGGCCGATGATGTTTATAGCAATAAATACTGATAGAGTTGCATTGCTGGTATGCGCGCGGTATGCCGGAAGCGGTGAGACAGACGTGGGAAAGATGCGCGCCGCAAATCTATAATGCCGTTATTCAGTCGTAACACAACAGCCCGCTGTGAATAATATTAAAAAAGATTTAAATTTCTCCGTTTGTCACTTATATCTCTCCGACCACTTTAACGGGCAGCAAAACAAAAATATACACCATTTTTAGAATTTTATTCGAAAAGAAGAGTATTATTTTGGACTCTTACTATTGTGCACAGTTACAAAGTATTATGTATTTCTAAGAAAAGTATGAGTATGTAACTTGTATTATGTAAATTGTTTAACTAAATAACGAATTTAATTCATTTTCTTGTCTGTACCAGTCAAACTTCCTGTCTTTTCGAACTGTTTAAGAACCTTCCATCGAGAGGATCAATTATATCCGACCCCTGGTGCAGTTGTTCATCTGGAAAAGCCTTTGAGGGGTTCAAGGGGTGAAAAAGTCGGTGTTTTTTCATTTTCCTTTTATCTACAGCAGGTTTGTTACGACATTAAAATTGTATACAACATGAAGCGACACAGTAACGGTGGACGAAGTATATAATAAGACATATTGAAAATTGGCTCTATTAAATCTTTGTAAAACAGATTTGCTTTACTCGATTATTGACTTTAATTTTAATTATAAATAAAGTATAAGCATGTACAAACTACAAGTGAAGCACACATGTTAAAAGAACGATCTATTTTAAGCTGACATAGCACAGTTACTACAATATATAGGGTGTCCCAGTAAAACCCGAACACCTAAATATCTCTTTTGTTTTTAATGATACTGGACAAAATTTATGACATAATTTGAATCGCTTTGAAGAGGTAACAATGTACAGAAGAAGTTTTTATTATAATAATTTTTTATATTTTTAAAGGTGACTGGGAGTGTTTTGCTGGAAAGCATACATTTTTTTACGGCATCCTGTAGCAGATGTTAAAATGCATTCAAGCCTGTCTTTATCGATAATGCAAATAATGTAATAATGTTATATTCTTTTACTTTTGAAGAGAAACTAACGTCTCTATTTTAAGCCATTTGTACATTTAGTTGATTAAAACATGTGTTTCAATTGAAAATTGTGTTGATTAAATATTATATATAGAAATGTCACTGATGGACAAACTCAGCGTCGTAAATATGAATTAAAGAAGCATTTCACAGTATATAGAGTAACACAATTTAAAACGACCTTGCATAATTATTTCACGTACTATACATTTTTTAACTAACACAGTTTAGCAGTTATTCTTACAAACTTTCACTTGAAAAAAAATAAAACTGTAATTAGACTTCATTATAAGAGACTCGTTTTAATAAACATGGACAATCATTGTAATTAAGTAAAATCATTTTTTTTCTTTTGTCCACTGAACTACTTGATTTTCTTATGGAAACTTCTGTACAATTTTCTTACACAATGTAATTCCTGACATTGTATGTGTAACTACAACTTCTCTAAAAATTTGGTTCACTACATAGGTTAAATGTCCCAATGACTGCTAGTGTCCCTAATTTCATCATTTTATTTATTTTACTTCATAAAAACGTAACGTATAAAGAATTGTGTACAACAAATTTTATTATTAAATTAGGACTCTCATTTACATAAAAACAAAGAAGTACGTGTGTGTACTTGGTATTTAAAAATCAATGTTGCAAAATGAAAGTGTAATTTGAGCGTCAAAAACACGACTACGTGAGTAGAAAGTGATGACGAAATCATAGTAAAGAAAGAGCTGTAATTTTACTATTCAATCTATGTCTATTGTATACATGAATTGATAAAGTATATAAGAATTACATTAATTTTTGAGGTGACAGTTATATGAACACTGATATTACTCGCAGATTTTAATTAATTATTAATTAATTTGTCATATTTAATGTATGAAACTATTTTTTTAAATGAAGGAGTCTTTGAATAATATTATATTTCAAACTGAGACAATATTTAAGTTAAACGACACGTAAAATGTTTAAATGACGTTACGGTACAATTTTAAGATGGCAGTAATTGGGACATCTACCCTATTCTATTTTAATTATGTTGAATTCGTTCCACCGAATGTTCAAAGATAGATAAAAAATTGTAGCGTTCTACATAAATTACTAAAAGTAATCTTCAAAATATCGAATAGAAAATGATTCACAAAAATGCACTGCAAACAGTTCGCCTGTCCATGTGAATCAAGCTATTAACAAAAAATCATTCGAATTGGTTGAATAGTGCCGGAAATCACGGATGTGATCAAATTATGCAGTTCATCGCGTGCTTGATGTCAAGCACTTAACTAATTTTCACGGTGGCTTATCGGTTACTCCTCTGCCAGTGTATCAGGGTACTCCGAAGCTTCTCTAATTCCAATTTCGTGGCTCGTTGAATCCCTTCTGATTTCACGAACATTCGCCGTTTCAGCCCTCCATCGCGACTTAACGCGACAACTTCCCCAAGTCTTTCCATTTCGAAAGATTTCCTGCGTTCCTCTCCCCGTGCTCTGCTCTTCCTACATCCGGTCGCGACGCTGAGGTGCATATCGATCCCTCTTCCCTTCGTCGTCTCCCTTTCACGGAGTCGGAACTCGCGAGCAGCTCCATTTTCCCTCGTATACAGAGTGATGCAGAAGAAGTGGTCGGGAGTTAATACACTGGTCGACATTTCTATAAAGTCACCAGGTTTATTGATGAAATCTTATAATTATTCCATAGAAATGAAAGTGAAAATGAAGTTCAAGCGAATTTTCCATGCCTATATCATTGTATCTAAATTACTCTGATATTTCTGGCATCTCTTATGAATCGAAGACTTCAATATTAGGAACGTTAAAATGGAGGATTAAAAGAAAGTTAATGGTACCGAGTTTGAGAATAGATGATTAAAGATTGTTATTTCATGTTTCAGTTTTAGGTATCTCTTATCTGCTATAATATTAACCCTTAACGACAGACGACTCGTCTCAGAAGATAAGTCTGAATTTTTATTTTACTATCGCACCCTAGTGGAGATTCTGGAAGCTTTTTGAGTTCTTCAATTGGCAGTAAATGGCACTAATTGTTTTTGAATAATTAGGAAAGTCAATG